CTGCCAAAAGCGTTCAGCTGAACAAGTGTTGCCAGCTTCATGCGTTGCCCATCTGCAAAACACGACTGCCTCATTACTGGGGTCTAAACCAAAACACAGCCTGCGAATCCACGGCATTTAACATAACTGACTATGCTACCGCAGAGGTTACTGAGATTCTTAAAGGTGATGATCAAGTGGTTTAAGGAAAGGGAAGATTCAAAGATTTTATGGATAGTACTAAACCAGACAATTATGCTGGAAGAACAGCGAGTTGTTCAGCAGTCACATCGGTGGGTGGTTACTGGTTTTAGGTTCCACTGATACCTGCGCTGATAGCCTGTTGCAAATCAGACATCAATTACAGCAAAAGTCCATGATTAGAGTTCATGTCAGAGTACTGTGCTTCCTATTCCAACACCAGTTCCACCTACAGCACACGAGAGGTTGTTCTAAACCACCTTTTGCTTTCCACCACACTCGAAGCCAAGTACTTGCCCTGTGTTTAGGCTTGAAGTCGGGCACCACCTAAGACTCCACCACGACGCAGGACTCCGCCTTTTCAAGTGCAAGCGCGTCTTCTTTCAAGCTAAGATGGTTTCAGCAAAGTCAGCTGTGACCAACAACCAAGAGGAAAGCTCAGAGAGAATCACCAGGCTGGGAATGAGCGGAGCTTGAGTACACCTACCGAAAGGCTTTAACACCACTCGGGTTACCGTACGGTGCAGCGCGCCTGCAGGCTGCACGCGGGTACCGACCTTCTCTCTGCCGGGACAGGAATCACAGCGACAAGCTCCCTACTGAAAGCAGAGCGCAGCAGATCCTGCCGAGGTGCCCAAGGCCCCGCCATGCCGCCATCCTGCGTGGGTTTCCACTCGCCTCCCCGGGGGGCGGCACGGGCGAGTCCTCTCGCTGTCGAAGCGCTTGCTGTCACCAAAGCCAACCTTTGGCCGAGGCGGTGGTGCTGGGGGCAGCTCGCACCAGGCCACCCGCTGCACCCCCCGCAGCAGGGGCACCAGGACATGCCTCGCCCAGCCGAGACGGCCCCGCTTTGGTGTTTTAACCGTGCCACGGGACACCCGGCACACTGTGCCGCTTCGCCGGGGGTGGGCTCATAGATGGGTCATACGCCACTGTATGTATAAAGATCCACAGTGCAAATGGATACGCACCCATCCATGGCAGCGGGACTGCACGCAGGAGGAAGTAGATGTCTGCAATGTCTACGGCTAGAATCGTCACAGAATGGCAAGGGTTGGAAGGGACCTCGGGAGATCATCTAGTCCAACCCCCCTGCTAAAGCAGGCTCTTCTAGAGCATTCTACACAGGAACTCATCCAGGCGGGCCTTCAGACAACAGATGCTCAGTGAAATCTGCACCCTGAAACCTTAACCCCCCTACCCCCCCCCCGCACCTCCACCAAGCCAGAGGCAGAAGCTCAGGGAGGTTAAATCTCTCAGCGAAGCTGCCATCACACCAGCACACGTGTTCCTTTGGGACAGAGCACGGGGACAACAGGAGGAACACAGGAGGAGAGCTGACATTTGTTCCTTTCTGCTTTATAGGTCAATTTAACATATGCCAACTTCAAAGTTAACGTTGTAATCCACAGAAGAGGAGGAGCGGGGCATTCCTCAGTCACGTGGCAAATGCTTTTTGTGGTTTATGTTTGGGTTTATGCATGAATGTTTTTGTGATTATGTTTTAATTAGACGATATACTTTGATTGGTCTGTCAAGCATTCACAGACAGGCGGATGGATCTTCTGGAAGCCTTTTCTTGTTCTGAAAGCATCTCACTACTAGAGCCCTACCAGAGATGCGGACTTTCTTTTCCTACTGCTTCTTGTTTTGCAAAAGCTGGCTGGCTTTAGCCCTTCCTATTTATCTACGTGTAGCGAGGATACACCACCTACGGCTTGTATCATGAGGAAAAGCATTACGAGGCCCCAGAATGAATGCCACTCATCGGATCAAGTGGAAAAAGCAGAGCAGCAAGGAGGAAAAGCTTTGCTATGGATTTAGTGATGGGAAAGCAGCAGGTTTCTGAGATCCAGGGCACCCTTTCCTCCTAGGAGCCTGTTGTCAGCAGGGCATCCCGGGCACCGTCTATTCCAGTGCCGTGAGGCGTGCATGGGAAAGGCTGCACCAGCACCTCCTCTGGGGGGGACGCCAAAGGCAATACCTATAGATATCTGGAACCGAGTTCAGCTGAACTCTTCCCTCATCTTGCTTTAGTTTTACTTGGGGGAAAAAGCAGCAACTCATAGCGAACTGGTAGAAAATTACCCAGTATTTGACAGTTAATCCAATTTTAAACTACCAAGTGAGATGTCACCCAAAACGCAGGCTCCGCTTTTACAAGACCGGAGACTGTGAATCCGAGGAAACCAGATCAGCCAAAACACCACCTCCCAGCTGCATCGGCCGCCTTGTCAACAAAAGCCATCGAGCAGCACGCTGCGTTACGGCTGCCGCGCTGTAAGCTCTCATTACAAACATCGCTGAAAGTTTATTTAAAACATTCTTTCCTGTTTGTCCAAGAAATGCAAACTGCTTAATTGAGCAGCATTAGATCTCCCGTATTTCCCATGTTAATAATGTAGGGGATTTGTAGATCAATGGCAGAAGTTTAAAAATTCTAGCATGTGACATTTGAATGTGATTTTAGTCGTCTGTATGCTACCACATCCTCAGAAATGCATCCAGCATATAATCGATGATGATACGTGAATGAAGTGACTTGTATTTACCTACGACAGCAATTAAAATCCCGTATTTTAGTTAGCTGGAACTTAAAAGCAAGCTTAAATGCTCCTTCACTGATACGTTCTTTGACATATCAATTCAAAGACAAATTTTCATTATGGGTTCAATTTCTAGAAACATTTTAAACTCAGAGTGGTAATTGCACTTCCTTTTTTGTGGAGATTATTTTGACTGCTTACAAAAGGCCTCGGTCCTCAGAAGTTATGCAAACTGCATTGACACAACTACATATGCAAATTGAATTCCTCAGAAGAATGGAAAAACACTGTGGTCTGCGGTTGATCTGGGTTTCAAGTTTATGAAGAAGTATTCAGAGTCATTTTCCAGTACTTCTGATGAACTTCAATTTACAGAGGCTTTCAACAAAGCATGCAGAATTCAAGTAAAAAAAAAAAATATAAAAAATTCTGAAGTTGTACATTTGCTCAGCTGCTACGCAGCTCAGTTCCAGGACTGTGCCGTGCTACTTTTGGTACAGGCGTATTAGGCTCTTCCCTAAGGAGCTTTTTATAAAGTTTTCTTCCACTTCCTACTGCGCCTGTGAACGCGGCGTAAACAGCCGTCCTGCTGCACGCACTGGCGAGGGGAAGGGGGGGTTCAAGGCTACCGAAGGGCGCCGTTCCTCACAACAGAGGACTGCCTGCCCGTTACCGGCAGTGAGCAGTGACCTTTTTACACCACCCCCCCTCTTATTTTTTCCTTTTTCCTTTCTCAGATTGCGGGTACGGAGGGCAGCGGCACAGAGAGGGAGGGTGGACGCAGCAGAACTACTGCGGCTGAGGGATGGGTTCAGGTCGGCTTCGGCCACGCTCCCGCTGGTCCGGACCCCGCGCGAGTGCTAAGGAATCGCTTTCTTCCTACGCTGAGCTCCGCACACACGACAGTCACCAGACCAAGGACGGACCACGGCCCGTCACACCTGGTGGTCTCTGCTCTGGGATAGGAACGGCTCAGCCTTTTCCCCTCCTCTTCCTGTTTTTCCCCAAACTATTCGGAGGCATTGCTGTAGGGCTTGCCCCGCTTCAGTGCACACGTGAACATGTAAGGAGTCTCATTGATAAAGATGCATAAATAAGTCATGTGACGCTGAAAAATACGTGGCGATCTAAAAAAAAAAGGTTCTACTTAAATGTTCCTTTATATTTTGTTCACAGGAAGAGCCTTCCCTGAAGACGTGGGGATGGTTTAAATCAGAGTTAGCCAAGAAAGCCTGCACAGTGCGAGCATCGGGCACATATAGCAGTAATCGATCAAGGTGGAAGAAAAATAAACAGACAACTATCACTACAGATGGTGAGGAATAGAAGGCTGGTTATTCCCTCTTGGATTTCTGCAAATCCATTAAACTGTCCAGAAAAAGCCAAGAGCAGCGATCACAGCACTGGATAAGGGCCACGGGCTGCACCAGTACCCCGACCGGACACATAGGGACAGGATGTTTTCAGTTACAAGAAAGCAAGAGATCAGATACTGCTAATCATTTTTTCTGTATACAGTTTTGCTTTATAACTTGAACAGCAGAATACTGTTGCTTTAACCATTTCTGTATAGATGTAAAAACGAATAAAGGAATCCCAGCACGGATCCATTCCAGCCGATGGGATACAAGCTGCGAAATGGCACTCGCAGCGCGGAGCAGGGACCACCCCTCGGTGTCCCACCACTGCGCGTTTGCTCTTGCTCATTTACACGTCTCTGCATGAACTCAGCAGGTTAAGCAGGTCTCTACCACAGCAACACAATGTGCTAGACTAGCTTTTACGCTTAAAAACAACAAACCCCAAAACAACAACCCCCCCGAAGATTACAACACGTTTTATACCATGGTTCAGTGTCGCTATTCTCACATTGCCTAAACAAGAACATTTTCAAGGACTGACCTATTGCAGACCAACACCAGAATTTGTTAGACTTCAATACAAATGTAGACTGGACTTACAAACAGGTGGCCTTTCTTTTTAAATTACTCAAATATATTTCTTACTCAGGAGACTCAGAAGGCCATGCCACACTGAAGTCCCTTCTATAAAATGCCCACCCTTTTTTGAGGCAGAGGAGCGCCAGTGAGAACAAATCATGTTTATAGGCTGAACTTCTATAATCATTACTTAGAAATCCAGAAGAGACTCTTTAGGTTTTGACTACAAAATAGTTGGAGACTTCAACTTCAAGAGCAGCAGATCTTTACGTTATTAGTTAAGCCAATAAGCAAACGTGCGCAGAACTCCATGAGAAAGCAAGTTTTACCTTACCTGGTAAAATTCCCGAAGCCAATTCTTCTGTAGGTTTTCTGGCTGAAAAACAAAAAACAAAAATTAATTCAGAAAAAGAGTAATGTACTTTAATAATAACATCCCGATACTTTTGCTTTCCTCAGTGCATTCACGCAGGGAGTTTTTTCCACAATTAAAGGG